TAATGAATTGTTTTGTATGTTGAAGTGAGGATTTTAGATAAGTTTATGTTTCAGTTACTCTATTGTAGTAAAACCCGTATGAGCCACCAAACTTCACATTCAAATAATTAACATGAAGCCACCTCTTGTACAAGACTTAAGAATATATGTAAAACACGTATTTATCTGTAAATACATTTTGTGACCTTAATCCCACACTCCTTTTAAACTATGCTTATCATGTCTACACACTAATATAACCCCTAGCCATACTCCTTATCCCAAAGTTGTATTTTATAGCTCGGCCATAGCCTAAGCCATTCCCTGACTATCCAAGCCCTATGTTCCTTCTTTCGTTAGACATATTTCCACTCTGCCCTAAAACCGATACTACTTTAACCAGTCTCTGGAACACTGGTGTGCGAAGGTGGATACAATGCACTTAGGACTCACAACACCAGATGAAGTTTGGAAATATCATTATGTCAACTAGTAGGCATGTGCATGGGAAAATGTTTTTGGTTTGGTTCGGCATTTCGAAATTTGGGACTTCGGCACTTCGGCAATTTTGAACTTCAGCACTTCGGATATTCGGTAACTTCGGGACCTTGGCAATTCAGAACTTCTCTTGCAGCCACTTGGTAGATAACTCCCTAATTCCCACGGGATTAGTGAGTTATCTACCAAAAGGCTGAAAGACCTAAATTGGTCTTTCAGCCAAATTTACTAATACTAAGTAAAAATTACTTAGTATTAGTAAATTATGCCCCTACTCGCTATACCGCGAGTAGGGGCATTTTATTAAACGGTGAGCAGCCCCCCCCCAAAAAAAAGGGTCCCCTCTCCCGGCTTTTAAACTAAAGGGGGGGCCTATTGCCCCCCCCCGGTCCCACCCCTGAGAGGCAGATGGGGGCCCTAAATTAGAATAGGGCGGACCTATTTCCCCTCCGGCCCCCACCCCAGAGCGGCGGGTGGGTACCCTAAAATAAAATAAGGGGGGGTCCTATTGTCCTCCCCTTTGGCCCCACCCCTGAGCAGTGGGTGGGGGCCCTAAATCAGAATAAGGGGGGAAGATCTAATGTCCTCCCCCTTGGCCCACACCCCTGAGCGGTGGGTGGGGGCCCTAAATACTAATTGGAGGGGACCTAATGTCCTCCCCCCTGGCCCCCACCCCTGAGTGACGGATGGAGGCCCTAAATACCAATGTGGGGGACCTATTGTCCTACCCCCCCGACCCCCACCCCTGAGTGGTGGGTGGGGTCCCTAAATAAAAAATTAACTCCCCCTCCACAGGTGACTAGGGGTCCCAAACCCCTAGTCACCCCCCTCCTCCCAAAAAATTAACCCCTACCTACCCCCCTCACCCTAAAAATAGTGAGGGGGACCATTAGCTAATAAAATAAAATAAAACTTACCATTTGATGTTTTCTTTCTTGTAAAATCTTCTTTTTTCAGCCCCAAAAAAGGCCAAATAAAAAGCCATACTAACCAACGCACTTGTCTGGACAGTATTGGGGGGGGTCTGGACAGTATGGGGGGGGTCTGGACAGTATTGGGGCTTCTGGA